CTCTCAAAACTTACACGCAACGACAGCAGCACGCACAAGCAGGATATACCCATGGCGGCATCCGAGGGTTTAATGCTGCTAAAGAACTCCCCGATCGAAGAGAATCCTTTCATGCGAACACCCAAGAGATTCTTGATCTGAGCAAACACCACAATCACAGCCGTGCCGGAGGTGAATGCCTTGGTCACAGGACCCGGAATGAAGCTCACTATGAACCCCAGCTGGAACACGCCCATGGCCAGCTCCACCAGACCCGCAAGGAAGGCCAGCACGATCACAACCTGAACGGGCTTATCCGCACAGAACTGCAGCGTGAGAATGGCCATTAGGCTGGTGGGTCCAATGGAGACCTGCGGTATCGTCCCAAAGAACACGTAGATGATGGATCCAATGAAAGCCGAGTACAGGCCGTACTCGGAGGAGAGGCCCGCGAGCGCCGCATAGGCAATACTCTGTGGTATGATCGTCAGTCCGAGGGTGATGCCCGCTATCAGATCGGCAAAGGCCCGCTCCCGATCGTAGTTCCGTATCCAGCTGAGAATGTAGATGCGACGCAGTAGCCAGTGGGCCTGCTTGGGCTTCGTGTACTTCCCCTCCACGTCAACAGAATGCGACTGGTCGTAGTAGTCGTCGCCATTCTGCAGCGTATACTTTTCCTTCTCCTCGCAGTTGGCTGAAATTAAGGGACAAGTGGAGGGCTCTTCAGTGAAAGTTCGAGTCTCAGGATCTGTTGATCAGTGGCTCCTACGATCGTAAATGGTGGCCACTGTTGCTGGCCCAGACTGGCCCTTAGATGCTCCATCACTCCGTTTGCCCGTGGGCCACAAGCCGAACGTGTGCTTTCGCGGCCAACGCATTTTGTACTGATTTGTCTGTTTCAGCTTTCGGTTTTGCCAATGGGCCAAGTACCCAGCACCGCGCTCTCTCCCCAACGAATTTTGTTTGATTTTTATTCAAGGCAAGGGGAATTTTTTAGCATTTTAACACGGAACGAGCAGCAGCAGTCCGGCTTGCCCCGAAGCACAGCCGATCCGAAACAAAATACAGTTTAATTGTGTGAAAACGAAACGTAATTAAGCACATATGCATGCTCGGATGGGTGTATCTGTACTTGTGTAATAGTTATAAATAACCGAGAGATTCTTTACTTCGATTGAGAGACATTATCAGTCTAGTCGTTTTCTCTGTTTGTTCCGGACTCGGAAACCAGTTTCAGCTTCCTCAAAATGTACCGAGCTATTATGCAAATTTTGATATCGTAGCCCCGAGATTTGTAGCTTAGTTTAAATTGTGTCAGCAAATCATATAGAGCAAACATTACCCGGAGACATGCCCGATTGTATGATTAAAATTCACTAGAAAAATGCAAGCTGCAAATTAGCACATTTTGTACTATAAAAAAAGACCGACTCTTTTGGGAGACTGTGAGTCATCAGTCTAACTACAGGAACAATTGATTCGAATTGGGTGTTAGCTTTGGCTCAAATTGCGCTAAAAGCTTGTGCCAATATTAAGTATCCCATAGTTGTACATCACGGTTGTAACGGTTGGGTAATCTTATTTCAAAAAAAACAAGAACCAAGAACTGCTCAATCCCTTTTTCATTCATCTAATCAATAAAATCATGAAATATCCGTATAAACAATCAATGGGAGATACTCGCACATTTATCACGCTTCCAGCGCATGTAGAGCCCTGCGGTTGACTCTCTACCCAACTGCTTAATAAAATATAAATATACTCGTAGTAATTATTATAACGACGCCCAACCAATTTAAGCCATAATACAATCAAATCATTATATGATTTCGCTTTTATCATTTATGTGGTCGATCTGTTTGTAAAATTTAAATATATTTTGTCATAGCAGCAATATTTATCGGTCATGTTGAACCCAAAATAAAAACCAAAAATTAATGTTAATTTGTAACATCAGGCCAACAATTTTTAACAGCTTTTGTTGGCCAGATTTGCAGCTTTTCTCTAGCTGCTAATTAATGCGGGCGATCGGTAACAGGTATAGAAATCACAGGTGTAATCTGTTTAGAAGTAAAGAAAAATGTGAGGGATAGATGTACAGGTCAATGTACATAGTCCGAGGAATATAATTGTTGGAATTTGAGGTTTTGTTTGGATGAAAGGTACAATGTTCGTATCGTGGAGTAATACAACCAGCGGATATTCCAAAGGATATGAAGACTAATATACGCTCAGAGAAAAAAGCTCAGAGAATCGAATAGTTCCACTTTGATTTAGAAATGTCTAGCAATATGGTAACACCGAGAATGAAAGTGTTTTCACTTGCATTTTAGCATTACTATGCAAATATTTGATCTAAATATATTTCATATTTATCTAGATATATTTCTTATTTAAAATAAATATATTTTAGATACATATATTTATTTTAAATTGTTTTTTATTTAATTTCGATTTTGGCAGCATTATGAAGATTAAATTAAAAACAGAACATTTCTTTTAAAGATGGGTGGGTGTGTTTATTTTTACAATACCATATTTATGTCAGTGTAGATAAAGATATGCCCACCGATATAGAGACAGTTGCAGGACCAAAAGTTACAGCCTCCTGTTTCAACATTTCACTTCATCACAACAAATCCTTAACCTGTCCAACCATGTTTAATCCATAAGAATCCACACTTAGTGTCTATACGCACAACTTCGTTGCTACTGCTTTAAAGCTCAACCTACCATCAAAGGATAACTTCTTTACGATCGTCATGCTGCACTTAAGCGTATATCCGTAAAGCCGTTCGATCACAGGACATTCAATATATTTATCTGAAGGATATCGTATCTGTTTGTATATTCCTGTAGGCTTTTCTGTTACACCCGAGTGAACCCAAGTGCACCGTTCCGCAATCTTATGAAAACTGCCGAATGGGCGAATTTCTGAATGATAAATAAGCTGGAGACGGGCAGGGCAGATTTTTCTGATAACACAAAAAATGAAAAAAGTCAAGAAAACGACAAGCGACAAGCAATCCTCCTTCTTTCTGCTCGAGATCAGCGCAACAATGGCACACTTAACGCCCCATCCCATTCGGCAGGCAGATGGGCACACAAACAATGCGGAGAGGCTGGGCCTACAAATAAGTACACTATATAACTGGATATGTCAACCGGGAGCAACATCGCCATGTGGAGGGAACTACGACGATATCGCGGTCCAAGTACGTAGCGGGGGGGAAAGGTGATACTAGTGGGTTGATAAAAATTTCCGCCACCCCACTGGTTGTGGACCCCAAGTTATTTTCCATCTCGGTCTGCTGGTCAATTGGAATTCTCGACAGGCAATATTTGGATTTGAGTTTAGATACCCACAGATCTATTATGTACTTCAATCAAACGGCGACGCCTGGTGACAGTCTTTTGAAAAGCTCTTTGTATCGGGTGTGAAAAGAGCTGCTATAGGTAGATTATGATTAGATTTTGACCCCCACTTCGCCTGGAGGCAGCTAGGTGTTAACTACCCCCCAGCCCACAGGGTATATATATTACAATACTACATGGGGCGCGTGGGTCTGTCTTGGCAGATATACAGCTTCGTTATATCTTAACGAGGCTGTTGGCGAGATGGCGTCGTAATTAGTATCTTAAAAATTATCTCTTACGGAATAGCCACAGTAGCTGCTGGCAAAATATGAATTTACGGCTGACTTTGAAATGTTTAAAGTGCAAAATTGCCGCTTAACAGGAGTTTCTCTTGGCCCCAAGGTCGTTGGGCGTCAGACGCTTATCTGAGTGTGGGGTAAATATGCGGCGTTTTTGTATCTAGACAGCCGCAGAAAGCAGTCGCAACTATTAATAGGTACTTTAATGTTTGTGATCTAGATTTGAAACAAATATTTGTGTGAGTGTCTGACAGCGCAACTTAGTTTTTCCAAGAATGTTGCAAAGCTGCCTTTAATTTTAAAACATTTTAGCGCGCAGAAATTCAAAAATGCCGTTGTAGCTCCAAGTGTTTGGTAGCGATGAAGTATCGTTCTTTCGATAGATGGTCTATCGCATAGCTGCTTATCGAATATATCGAGTATACACAATTCGGTCGTACCACCGATTACGGTATATTTTATACCTCACTCTGTATATTTTGACGTCGAAATTTGGTATATTAAATAGCATAAAGAACAAAACTTCCATACACATTTTAATTTTCGCTCTCTCAAATCGTGCTTCCTGCATCATTTATTGCACTGGATTGCATTCATATCCTTGTCACTCAATCGCTTTAAAACTTAGGCTACATTCCTGTATAGGGATATTACAGAATTGCGGATATGTTTGTCATCTCAAAGCAGCTTGGAAAACAGTACTGCAATAATAATTTCGGAAAATAGGGTATACAAATTTCTATACTCCTAGCAGAATCCCGTTGACCAGCAAAAATAACGTAGCGTGTTCGAAACTTATTTTAGACATATTCAAAAGAGAAGAGGATTACCCAAAATTATCCAATCTAGTAGAAAATTGATTCGTCAGCCGGATAAAATTATAGTTTTAGTGCTGGAAGCCCTAGCTTGCTAGTAATATTGTGCCGAATATCAAAATCGAGGAATATGATTTCCGATCATGGACAGCGAACGATTAACCCATTGTCGACCATTGGGTGGTTTAATAACCTCCCCGAAAATTAATAATCTTGAGGAAGTGAAAGATATCGTTTTTTGTAAGTAAAGAGGAAGGATAGACCGGATTTCCAAAAATAACAATTATTAGCTTAACTTGTTCACCTGCATAAAAAGAGGGGGGGTTAAGTGGGCTAAGCTCATTTCTTTCATCAGTATATTTACGGTGTATTTTGAAAATGAGACCATATATTTCGGTATATTTCTGAGAGTCGGACAGTGTAGGAGGAATTAAAAAGATAACAAAATACTCTTCGCGTGAAAAGTTAATAAATTAAATAAAGACTTTTTTCAATAAACCAAATTCGACCTGTATTGTTCTATCATTGTTCGGTGCAAGTGCTGCAAATAAGCAATGGTAACTAGGGATGGTAAAATATCGACATCGAAATCCAACCTTGTCAACTCGTTATCGCTCTCGTACGCAGGGAAAAAATAAATTTAGCAACAAAAGCATATTTAGCAGCAAAGTAACCGTGCTGAACGCCGCCAATATTGCTTTTTTTGGCTAGAAAACGCCTCGCGTCGTGTTAAAAGTGACCGCCCACCACGCGATTATATCAAATATAAATCAGAAAATAGCCCAAGCAAAGGAAAAACGCAAAGTTTCATACGTTTCATCGTTCGTCCACTCTTCTGGTGCTGGCAATTGGCTTGCACTCCCCCAATCTATTATGAACAACAATAGTAAGCGGAAAACTCGACCTAGTGGAGGAGGTGGCGGTGGCGGAGCCAGCGGCGGCATCTCAAGGTAAGAAGAAGCACCAGCTGCAGTGGAAAAGCGAATGCAAAAAAAGACAAAAGCGACAGACACAAGGAAAAAAGAAACGATACGAAGCGAAAAAAAAAAAATAAAACACACACACAAGTGTAATCGGTCGTGTGTTGTGTGGGGCTGGTTTGCTTTTCGCTGCTGCTTGCCGTTGCCCTGACAAATTGAAAACCCGACGACTAAAAACGCCACTGAAAGAAAGAGCGCTCTCCCGGTCCGGTCGAGAAAGGTGAAAGCGCGTCTCGTGTCTGTTTCGTGGTGGCAGCTTTTGTTTTTGTTATTCTTTCTAGTGGCTGCAACTAAATCGAATCGAGGAATTCCTTTCCCGTTTCGTATTGTCTGAAATCATTCTGAATTTTTGGAAGACCAAATCGTAAATGCAAATGGCGCTTATATAAGAGGCCCAGCTGTGTGCTTGTGTGTGTCAAATCAGTGTGTTTAGTGTTCATTGGTGTGCGTTTATCGGTGTCAGTGTGTGTGTCGTGTGTATGTGTGTGCTTTCAGCACCAGATTTTATGCTTTGTTTACATTTCCCTTTCGCCAGAAAAAATTAGTACAAAAACATAATTTGTTTAAAGGTTTCCGTTGTCGCATTAGTGGCTCATGTTCCCCCCAAAGAGTGCCTTCGCCTCGCTCGCTCGCACCCCCAAACAGTTGGACCCAGTTCCCCTCTTGCCGCGCCGCCGCTGCTGCGCCCTTAAAATGTTCAATTGAAATATGACTGCAGCGCGCCGCACACACACAACTACACACATCCGCATTTGTGCACAGTTCCGGGCATAAGTATTGGCACGGCTCTGTATGTAGCGTTCTCTGTCTCTAGAAACGATGGAATGTGAATAAATGTTAAAAGCAGATAAAAGGCAGAATTAATGGGGTTCCTAGAGTTAAACATTTTCAGTCGTGCCAATACTTATCGCCATAGCTGTTTATGGTACACGATCATTATTTATTTATATACCAACACACATGCATGTGTATAATTGTGAGCACTGTGGGGCCTGGCGAGGGCCAGGCCAGGCCAGTGATGCACGCACACGCGCGCACGTATTGTACTATAGTTTTTCTTTTTGTTTTCTTCGTTTGCCTCTTTTTTCGACTGCATTTTCTTGCACAGTAAGCATTTTGCAGTTCTGCCTCTGCCATTGCTATGACGTGCAGCGGCTGCGCTGCGCTGAGTTTCTTTTGGCACACTTCGTCTCCCCCTTCGCTCGGCCTCAGCCTCTGCCCCTCCCTGTTGGTGTTCCGCTGGGCGCTCGAAATTTGGGTCACTTTACAATTTGCTGACCGAACGATACATCGCATCGCTCTTGTTTCCATTCTACTTCTATGCATATTTATCCGCTATTCTGCCATGCACACTTGCCTTTCGAGAGTGTGCCGTCAGTGCCTTCGTTTCGCTTCAGCCTATTTCTGAGAGCAGCTCTTGCTCTTAACCGTTCTCTCTCTGACTGTCTCTGGCTCACCTTATCGCCACGCATGATTCACTCTTTAAACGCAATCAATTATTTGTTTTCATTCACCAAAATGTGCACAATGCACGCCACTCCTGCCGCTCCCCCTTCGCAGCGACTGCTGCACACCCACGCCCGTTGCTTGCTGTTGTTGCGGCTGTGTGCGTGGCCGGGTTCATTGTGCGTTTCGTTGCGCATTTCACGGTCGTCGATCCTGCACGCAACCAACACCAAGTCCATCCATCCCCCCAAAAAACCAAAACGAACGCCACTGGAAACCGAGCTGAACCGTGATTAAATAGGTCCAAGACAGAGCAGAGTCAGCAGAAAAACGAACGTCGCTTAAAACCATAAATATTTCTGAGAATTCTACAGTAATTACTCACTGTTTTAAACACACAAGCAAAACGTAAACAAAGAGCGGAGGAACCAGATACCCTGAACCCCCGAAAAACGGAATCAGTCCCAGAGGTGATTCCATTTTGTTTCTTTGGCCACACTGCAGTTTTCGTACGGTAAAGCAGCAGCTGGTTGCAAATATTCTTGTGGAAAATCTATCCAATTCGAAATAAAATCAATTTAAGTAGCACGACGAGCGTTTTTGATTTGGAAACCCAGTCGGTGACTTCCATAATTCATTTAGTCGCATAGCGCGCGTATCGGTAAGTTCTAAAAAGCGAACTAAAATGAACACAGGCAAACACACCAACAGACACACACACACAGCCCCACACACACAGCCCCATTGTGGGGGTGGGTCTTTAGAAGGGGCGAGGGTCATGTCGTGTCAGAGTTTGCCAACAACGAAACGAACAAACGAATCGATATCGCTGACGTCCCTGAAACGCTTTTCGCTTTGTCTTTAGCCTGGCTACTATATGGCTATGGCTATCACTCTCGCATCACATGAATATTGGCAGCCCCGAGCCGGAGAGACGTTGTGCTTGTGAATAATTTGTGCCGTGCCATTCTTCCAGATACAACGCCAACGACAACAGTCTGAGACCAGCGAACAATAAGTCAGGTGCGGCTGGAAACAGTGCAGGAGCAGGAGCAGGAACAGGCGGAACAGCAATTCGACCGGTGGCGCAGGGCGTCTATAATAACACGTTTTTCATGCACTCGGCTACGGCGCTGGTGGGCAGCGTTGTGGAGGTGGTCCTGCGTTCGGGTAATATCTACGAAGGCGTATTCCGTACATTCTCGGGCAATTTTGACATCGCACTGGAGCTACCGGCGTGCATTAAGTCCAAGAATCTTCCGGAAGAGGGCAAGGTGCCAAAACACATTATATTCCCGGCCGACACTGTGGTTAAAATCGTGGCGAAGGACTTTGATTCGCAGTACGCCACCGCTGGCGCTTTTAAGACCGATGAAGCCATCTCTGATAAGTGCAATGGTATGTCCTATCTAGTATTCAAATCCTTTCATCTCCAGTGCTTATCATTTTCTCTTCGCTATAGGTGCGCGTCTGGACGAGAAGGAACTGGAGCCGTGGGACTCTGGCGCCAATGGGGACATTGATATAGAACTGGATGGCGCTGCCAATGGCTGGGATGCCAATGAGATGTTCCGCAAAAATGAGAATACATTCGGTGTGACTTCCACTTTCGACGACTCTCTGGCCACGTACACGATCCCACTGGACAAAGGGGATTCGCTAGAGTTCAAGGAGGCCGAGGCAAAGGCTGAAAAACTTGCTGCCGAAATTGAAAACAATCCGACGTGCCGCGACCGTCTGGACTTGGAGAATGGTGATGAGGAGGCACTCTTTGCTGCTGTCGAGCGTCCGGAGCAGGACCATCGCCGCGATGGTGACAGGGAGCGCGAGCGCAACGATCGCGACAGGGAGCGTGAGGAGCGCGACAGAGACCGTGACCGTGATCGTGGCAACAAGCCGCCACGTGGCGCTGGCGATTTCCAGCTGCGCGAGACCATGAGCAGCGATCGGTATATTACAAAGCAGACGCGCGGACCCCAGATGTCGCATGTGGGCATGTCCTCGCAGGGTGGTGGCGGCGGTGGTCGCGATCGTGATAATGGTCTTATGATGCCCGGGGTCATCAGTGGCGGCGGGGCTGGCCAGGGTGGCGCTACGCAGTCGGCTGCAGTTCTCTTGCTTGCAGGCGGCCTGAAGGCCTCTGGGCCAGCCTCGTCCGCCAATGCGGCCGGCATGGACGCCTCCGGCAAGTATTCGATGGTTAAGCGCAAGACGGTCACCCAAGGGGGCAAAGTAATGCGCGGCAATGTGCCCCCCAACAGCAGTGGCGGCGGCAATATCTCTGCCGTTCAAGGCGGCAACGGCAATCCTGTGGGCCAGAGCAAGGGCGGCTATCAGCCCACCATGGTCATGCAGAACCAGTATGCGTATCAGGGCAACTCGCAAATAATGCATGGGTAAGCAAACACCAAAAGCAAAGGCAAGTCCTTCAATATATTAATGTAATTGTTTCGCTCTCGCGCAGGTCCTCTCAATACCGGAACCCATCTCACATGAGCGGCGGCCCCTCCAAGTTGAATGGCGACGCGAACGCCAATACCAATAAGCCGCTTCCCCAGCGACAGATACGCCAGTACCAAGGCTCTCAAAGCAATTCGCTCAACTACGGAGGAGAGCCACAGCCGCAGATGGGAAAGCCCATGCACAGCTCTCATGGCGGCCATCCTGGCCAAAATAGTAATTCGCCGCCGCTGCAGACGGGTGGGCAGCCGCAACAGCAGCAACAGCAACAACAAGCGCCACAACAGCAGCAGCACCAGAACATGGCGCCACAGGGCCAACAGCCACAGCCGCAACGTCAGATGCGGTCTCGCGATAATCAGCTACAGGATCTGCGACAGTTTGGCCAGGACTTCCAGCTAGCTCCAACAAATAATTCACCGCCACAGCAGCAGCCGCAGCAGCCACAGCAGCAACAGCAGCAGGTGCAGGTGCAGGCTCAGGTGCAACAGCAACAGCGTGCTCTTCTGCAATCGGCCTCGCCACCGCAGCAGCAGAGCCAACAACAGCAGCAGCAGCAGCAACAACAGCATGTGCCCATGCAGCACCAAGGGCCACCACCTCATCTGCATCAGGCAGCTCTATCACAGCCACACTATGTGCCTCAACCACAACAGCAGCAGCCGCAGCCTCAGCAGCAGCCACCGCCTCCCCAACAGCAGCAGCAACAGCAGCATGTACCGCTGCACTTGCAACAGAAAGCTCAGCAGCCGCCACAGCAGCAGCAACAGCAACAGCTGGTGGAGACCCAACACCAACTCGTGCCTAAGCAGCATCAACAGCCACCAGCGCAGCAGCAGCAGCAGCAACAGCAGCCACAGCTGGCGCCGGAGCCATCCCAGCAGCCGCTGCCTTTATACCATCCAATGCCACCGCCACAGACGTCGCCGGTAGTGATTACGTCTCCGGTCCTGCTGGAGGCGCCGCCGCCGCAGATACTGACGGCCCAACAGCCGCCGCAGCAGCAGCAGCTGGCGGCCACACCCAAACCAGATGCCTCTCCGGCAACTGGCAGCAACACCACAACGCCCACTGGCATAGTCAGTACGCCCACGACGGCGGCTGCCTCCAGTGCTGGGTCCGAGAAGTCCACGCCTGCTGCTGCATCGAGTGGAGCCACCAGTGGAACCGCAGCCGCAGCTGTCGGCGCACCTGGTGCTACTGGTTCTAGCGGAAGTACGCCTGTGGTAAAGAAACACGTGCTCAATCCTTCGGCCAAGCCTTTTACGCCACGGGCGGGGGCCGGCACACCCAACCCCTCGCGACCCCATACGCCACAGACGCCGGTGCCAATGCCGGGCATTTATACGACCACGGGCACACATGTACCGGCGGCGGCGACCAATCAGCCCATATACGTTGTGCAGCAGCAGCATCCATTCCCGCCACCTACACACCCACAGGCCGGACAGCCACCGCGCCTACGTCGCAATAACTATGGTGAGTCGTACGCACAGAGTTTTTGGAATAATAATCGAACCCTTAATTGTATTACAGCTCCAATGGGAGCCTCGCAGATGCATGTCTCGGCAACCACGGCCACCGGACAGCCGCTTATGGCCGCCGGTCCCATGACGCAGTTCATCCAATACCCGCACGCACCACAACAACATTTCCAATCACAGGGATATGCGCCCATGCCGATGCGCTTGTATCCGGATCAACAGCCGCAGTTGCAGTTCCTGACACAGACGCCACAGTCGACCACGCCATCGCCAGGACAGCCGCATCAGCCGTTCCATCCGCCACCACAGCCCTCCCCTGCCGGCGGGGGACCACAGCCGGCATACACGCCGCCCACACAGCAAACATACCAGTTTATGTGCTTGCATTCCCAACACGTCCTACCCAATCCATATTTCCAAACACAGCCGGCGCCACATCATGCGCCGCAAAATCCACAGTATCAGATTGTGATGCAGCAGCATCACGCACAGTGAGGATGCCACCCGAACAACAGCAACAGCAACAGCTGCACCTGCAGCTGCAGTGCCAATGGGCAGGGGCAGGGGAAGGCATTGTCGCGCTGTAAGGAACGGAATCTGTACGGGCAGGCAGCCAGTCATCAACAAGCCACATTTACACACCACATAGCCACATAGCCACCAGCATACAAAAATCGCTACACCATCCTTCATTCGCATTCGACCTTGAGTAGGCGCGCGCGGCTTTTGTAGTCGCTCCAAGCGATCCCCAAAAAAAACACGCATCCAATCCCATCCCATACCCCCAAAATCGTTTGCCATGTGCAGGAACGGTTCATTCTGTAGTACATCTCACAGACCGAGACAACAACTAGGAAATTATAAAATACAATTAAAAAAAAAAACAAAAACAAAAAGGAAACTAGTAAATTTTGAAATTGCAAGACTTCTACAGCGCACGGAAGCGAACAAAACAACAAAAAAAGCAATCACTGAACAACAAACACCAAACGTATAGAAACTACAAAAAAACAAAATAAACAAAAACAAAAACGAAAAAAAAGCAAAGTTTGAGATGAAGAAGCAAAGCTAAAAGCAGAAGTCGAAGTCGAAGAAACCCCAAATTTATTTGTTAACAACAAAGTGTATAATGAAAGCAATGAGAGGAGCGTTTCCAGCCCCCGGCTCGTCCCGCCCACTTGCGCCCCTAGGCAACTTCCAAATCAAATCTGAAGATTGGCTACTCCAAAATGAATACAAAAAAAAAAAACATAAATCGAAAATCGATTAGCGAAGCGAAAAGAAGTCAAATCAAAAGTTTCAGCAAAAAGTCGGAATAGGACGGAGGAGCTACATTTTGTAAAACATTGTTTTAAACATTATCCTTAGATTGCACCTTTTGCTGTCCTATAGTTTTATCCGATTTGGCGAGCCTCACCAACACACACAAACAAAGACCCCATCACACCGACACAAGACATGCCACAAATTTCCCCCCCAGCCGCACACCCAAAATCCCTCCCGACGAAGAAAGAAAGCGACGTGCAGTCTCACACCAAAACCCAAAAGTCATCATTCCAAGTTGAATTTTCCAAAATGTGCAGGCAGTTGTAACCCCGCGATGGATGGGTGGATTGATGTAGGCCCAAGCCGAAACCCTTTGGGCTTGCACTGCGGGAAATGAAAAAAACGAATGTGGATTTCTAGAAAAGCAATACATTTTTATTTGTTTCCCTCATTTTTCTGTAAAACTAATTAATTTGATAGAAATTGAATTTTGTTTTGTTAGCCTTTGTTTTGCACTTAATTCTATAGCATTTATTGGACATGTTTTGAAAAGTTTTGATACAATTTTCCTTGGCCATTTGGACCAGGATATAGGATCTTGTGTCTCTGACTTCTTTCTGGGTTTTGAGTGCCGCCTCCGTTGTCCTTTTACAAAACTGAAGAAGAACAAACCGTATTAATATACTTTGCCGGTCATAAAAAAAAACACAGTTTGATTATAATTCGTATATGATCAATAAGAGCATCTGTTGTGGTCTGTTTTGTTTTGTAAACCTTCAAGTTTCCTTAAATGAAAAAAAAAACAAGATTATAAAAGGTAACAATTATTATAAATTTAAATAAAAACAAAAACTAAAAAAAAAACGAGAAAAACAAAAAAAAACCAAAAAATATAAAACATGTGTGTATCCTTATTTCCGGTTATCTTGAGCTGGCGGGCAGCCCGTCATCATTTTTCTCCCGGGGAATGGATCGGATCGGATCTGAAAAGAATGGATTGTTAAGGGGGCATTTCATGTTGAAATTTCTGTACCCAAACTCGTCAAAATGGCTGTGATATGATTCAAGAGTACATAAGGTCACAAACATTTTAACGACATGGTATAAGAAAGATGCTTTCCGTCCACTCTGTGCTCCATCCTGCCCTGCCCCGATCGATGATGGATTGCTGGCCATTCCACACGAAACTCATCAAAATGGCTGTGATATGATTTGATAAATGCAACATTTCACAACCGTTTGATGGGTTACGTAAGTATGGGGATGACGGTTTTTTTTTTGTCCAAATAGTACGAGCCGAACACTTGTTGGGCACATGGGGCTGGGGGCTGGGGCTGCACATAGGCGGGGTACATACGAGTATGTACATTTTTTGTGACGCGAAACTGCAATCGATGCTCATTGCAATGCCCATCAAAGCTGGCTGTGATACGCTTCAAATGCAAATATATCTTTCTTCAGCCATTTTTGATGACACTGAAAGTAAGGATACCAAGTGCCGATACGCACGCACACACACACACGCACACGCACACGGACGCAATGCACCAACACCCACACCCACACGCGCCTCAATGCAATGTTCACGTAACTGTGGCGGCGGCAACGTTAAGTGATTTTGGGCGTAATAACGTAGCCATTTACATACGGGGCACAACGCACAACGTAGAGTAAATAACGTAACACATAGGCGGCTTTTCTGTCGTAAACGTATACATATATGTATGCATGCAGTGGGGGTGTGTGTGTGTCTGAGCGAGTGTTAGTGGGTTGTATCCGGCTGTAGTTTTTCTTATTTCCGGCCTTTCAAATTACTCGTCTTATTTACGGGGGAGAGGTTGGAGCTCAATTCGAGTTAACTAAAGGATTAAATTAGACTGTGTTAGTGTGTGTGTGTGTGTATGTATGCGCGCGTGTCCAATGGCGGGGCTCGCGCAGGACTCCTGGTATAGTATCCTTCTTCGTTCCGTTCCGTTCCGGCTTGCTATGCGATATTTCTTACGTTTCAGGGTACTTTTTGTCTGTATCCTTCTTTGTGTTCTGTAGGTTAAGTAGCCGAAATATGTACGTTGCATGTTGCATATGGATCCCGCGATGTGTGCTCTGCCATGCACTCGTATGTGTCTGTGTGTGTGCAAACCCAGCGCCGACTGCGACCACCGCCCTCTGCTGCCGGCCGCTAAAATGTCTGCCATCCAGTCTAACTGCTGTGTTGCCTGTTGTCTGTACGTCTGTCTCTCCGATGTCTGGTGTGCCGTACGTACGTACGTACGTTTGCCGGAGTGCGTCAATGTGTGTTTCTGTGTGTGTACGGCACGGAGTGTTCACCCTTAACATGCCCTTCCCAGGACCCAGACGGCAACAACCACCATACCATTCTCTCTCTCTCTCTCTCTCTGCCCAAGCGGGAGAGTATTACGGGGGAAAAACGAACAATTTTTCAAAACTTAATTTTGGAAGAGAGATGAGCAGAGGAGCAGAGGAGCCGAGTGGCCATGTCCATTAACCGCTAGTTTGGATACATTCTACTGCGAGGAGGACTGACTGTTATTCCATTTGATAATAATTCCAAAATCAATGATTTACTGCGCATTTATGTATCCCTATGTACAGGCAAGGGTGTTTCCCCAGTCGGGCTGATTGATTTGTGGCCAGAGTCGGGTTTGTTGTTGCCGCGTCTGCTGCAGTTTTTGCAGTCGTCCAAATAGTACAATACTCCTTGTACACATACATACAAGCCAGTGTATGTGTAGAGCAGGCGAACGACCGACCATCCCTTATTTTTCTTCTTCCTTTCCTGCTTCTGCTGCTGCTTCTGCTCCTGCCTGGCACTCTTTCTCTACACGCCATCTGCTATGTGTGTGCGTGTGTATTACTACAATCGCAGACGGACTTTTGGGCTTGCCGATGCCGATGCCGATGCCACCCACCCTTCTACCAAACAGCAACCTCATCATCATCATCGTACGGTACGAGTCCTTCCTTCCTGACTCTCTCTCTCTCTCTGTCTCTCTCTCTGTCGTCCAAGCAGTTGTCCTGGTGCTAGTCGGCATTTGTCGTGTGTATACCGAAATTCGTAAAATTTCATTTATGGCTAGGGCTGATTGTTGTTGCTGCTGCCACGGCTGCCACGGCTGACGCTGCCTCTGCCGCTGCCGCTGCCGCTGCTTTGGCTTTGTTCCTGTTTCAGGGCGACGGCCGCCGACGCCGCCGTCTTCACCTTCACTGTCGCAGCCTTTTTTTTGGGGTGTTCCGCCCAATTCAAAGATGGATTTAATGCGCTTTTAATTGAGGGAATCATTGAACTCTACTCCCACTCTTATGCATGATCCTTCTGCCACCGTCCCTTGGGGGTGCTCCTGTGGACAATGTGGTATCGTTCCTTCTGTATCCGCTCTCCTCGGCATCTTCTGTATCCTGCGGACAGGCATATTGTGTCATATACAAACTTTTCACATCCGCTCCATGTATCCTGGATTCACCGCCAGCCTACCCAGGGACATGCCAAGGCCGGGCCCAGCCTTTTGCGCAGTTTCGAATAATGGCCGCAAAACAAAGGATAAAGGAAAGTCGTGGACAAAAAAAAAAACGTAGTTTTCACCGTTTCACTTGAGTTTTTCACAGCTTAAGCCATTTCCTACGCCATTTTCGTGCACACGTACTGGTACGCTGCGACCTTTTCGATTTTTGGCATAATCATTTATTTATTTATTGTGCATTTTACCGTTCGATTAGCAATAATTTATTAACCGGTTTTTCTCGTGACGTTTTCGCCTTTTTACAACCACACAGAGAACGGAACGACGACGGGCCAACCATCGTAGAAATATTCAAAAGGATGGTTTGGTTGTTTTCCACCCTCTCTCTCCCTCTCTCTTTCTCTGCTCTCTCTCTTCGAGACAATATGTACAGGCGGACGCAGGGTATAGCACTATTGGTGAGGGACAGGTAAGCCACTTTTCGCATTGTTACTTGAGTCGGATACTTAGAGCCAGAGTTGAATGCACCTCGTGATTTATTGTACCTTGCGGCCAAACTGCCGCTCGTGAGTGTGTGTTTGGGTGAGAGCGGGAAAATTTGGCAGGACCTTTTCTCTTTTTCAGCGCTCTCTCGGCCCTGCCTTCGGCCTTCGTGTGTAGTTTTCAATTACAACTGCCGATTGGGTGCGCGCGCGAAAAAAGGGCAAAAAAGGCGCGCCCCCGCCCGCCGACCGACAAAATACACACAAAATGTATTCCGTTTTTTTTTCTTCCATTTTCACTTTCGACAGAACTGCGCTGACGCATTGAGAGCGGCTCTCACTTCAGTGTCCCCAGAGAGAGAGAGAGAGAGAGCGCGGATGTATGGGAACTGTACAATGCCGAAGGAGAGATCAATGCACGTATAGGATTCGTTCAACCTCTAGACAGTCATAATGCCAAAGGATACTTTCTGGCAGTTTAATAGAAAGAACTTATCTTTTTCGCTCACTCTCGGTAGTATCGGTAGTAATGCTTTGAAAATAAAAATAATACAAATTTATAAATAATAAAAAACAGAAAATAATTTTTATTTAATGATTTTCATTAGACAAATAATCCCATAATCCTTACGATCCCTGCTTTTAGTGGTAGATAAGTGAGAGTTGGATATGGATATGGAGCGTTACAGTTTCCTTATGAAATTACATTGAAATATTAATGGTATTCCTGAAACCATATAAGAGTCAATTTTAAGAGTTTCTTGAAAAAGACAAAAAAATAAAACACAACCATTTATTACAAATATTTGTAAAAGTATTCTCCCTGCTATATTGAAAACACACTAATAAAACAGAGCCATAAAAATAAACATTTTGAAGTATACTTTGCACGAGACAAAACTTAGGATGTATGCCCAAGCGAGTGGATCGCATCCTCATACTTAGAATTGGCAATATGTATACCTAACCTTTCTTATTTACAATTAAAAACCTCGATTGTGCTGTAAATGGATCAGAAAATACAGGCCATGATTGACTAATCTTGCTGTTCAAGCATTTGGTCCACTCTATTTTAAGCCGAGCTGAAGACCCCTCGAATATGCAGAATAGGCCCTTGCTCTTTAAGCCATCGGCGCTTTCTGTTCTGTCCTTTGCTCCACGTACTCCTAAGTAGAGATATTGGCACATTACTGTAATTTCTGGTTGAGCAAGTGGAGCTCTTAGCACAGGTCCACTGATGCTTATGCACTCGAACTAATTGCAAGGATATACAAACTTTGATGCCGCGAAATGATGCCCATTCTGCTAATTTTGAAACAAATATTGTAATTTAATCAAACATTTATTATGAAAGCCTCTTTGCATGCGATTTGGCGTGGCTTTACCTTTGCCCGCCATCAGGGTTGAGGTGGCCTGGGTCTGCAGCATATTTGCCAATTCGCCGAGATCCTCGGGTGTGATCCTTGCCCTAACGACCTTGACCTTGGGCTTGGCTATGGATTCAGCGAGAGTTCCAATCGATTTTCGTGGTTTCTTTGGCTTGGCAGCCAAAACCAAATGACGCTAGATGATCCTCATCCACAGCGAACACTGTCACCATGATCTGGAAGTCGGACTTGTCCAAGAAAAAGAAATAACTATTTACTTTGATATCCAATCCAATCCAAGTGTGGACCCACTGTGTGGTAATATGGAATCCCAACAATATATGTATGTATATTGAATATAAAATTGAATGTGTCGGGTTTCTTTATTCATTCATTCATTCTTTTACAATAGATAAAATGTTCAACAGCAATAAAAAATATTACACAAATTTTAAAAATGTAAATAAGTTGAATAAATATTGTACGAATTACGCTGTGCACGTTGTTGAGAGTTGATTCTGATTCTGATGCTGTGAGGCAGCACAGCGATTAGGGGGCTGAGAGTGCGCGAAGGTTTGGCCCTAATCGATGCGTTGGTTGTGCCTTCTGCAATTTTTTGTGAGGAATATTGGTTCCGTTCCAGCCACATTGGGGCATGTAAAACAATTAACAAGATGCGGAACCCGTTTCCAGGGGAAGGTTACGTGCTCTGGTAACTGGTAACTGGTATTATGTATTATCTGGGCGTGCGTTCATTCAAAAAGGTGTCTGGGTCTGGCAAGTTAAAACTAAAAACGAGATACATATATTGTTCCTTTTTCTTTTCTTTTTGTTGTTCCTTTGTAAATGGCATCATGTTCAAAATGGTGAATGGGGGCTCTGAACACGGCCGATGTTATTCCTATTCTATATATTTTTATAGTGTACATATAGTACGATGTATGGTGCAGATTGGATGCAGGTTATGCGAATGTGGTGTGTATGCATGCGTGTGATTGGTGTTGAGATACATTCATTGTACGATATTCATTCATACGTGTATAGTATGCATAAATAATGTAAGAACTGTGTTAGCGTTAGAGCTGAAAAATCGAAAGGCATATTATACTACAACATACTGCGCTCTACACATACCATAAGATTAATCGATATTAATATATGTTCAACATGAGCTTAACACGTATTGCAACAGGGCCAGAGTTTCCAAAGTGCTAATAATAAATTTGTAATTTCATCAGCGTTTTTGGGTTCTACTATACGATACGATACGATACGATACGATGATGATTCGTGTGAGTCTTAGCGGCTAGAGGGATTGTAAAATGTTGTGTGCTGGGAGTATGGGAGTGCTAGGCCTAACCAATGTATTTGTATGTATTGTGGGGGTGGGGGGTCGGGGGTCATTATAATTACATTAACGATATTAAATGGTATAATAAATAACTATAATTAGCATACTACATAGATCCCTCCCTCTCTCTCTCTCTCTCTCTCTCTCTATATATATATATATATAGCATGTATGTATGTATGTATGTGGATGTTGTCTCTCTCTATGTTTAATGTTTTATCAAATGCATACTCTTCATCTTTTCCATCTGGGAATAGTATCTTCCCAGTTTATGCCTATCTATATTCCGCTGCTGCTGATTAGCGACTGTCATTCGGCATTTTTGATCTCTGAGTTAAGATTGCGGCAGGCCTCTCTCTCCCGCTCCCGCTCCCGCTCCCGTTCCCTTTCCCGCTCGCGCTGCTCCTCCTCCAGTTTGAGGACCTTGCTCTTGAGGCCACACAGTATCTCGGCGGTGGCTATGTTCTTGATGGTGCTCAGGTCCAAATGTTGGCTATGATTGTTGTTGTCATCGTTGTCGTGCTCCCCGTGGCTGTTGCTGCTGCTGTTGTTCTTGTTGTGTTCCGCTTCCTGCTCCTCAGCATGTTGCTGCTGCTGCTGCTGCTGTTGCTGTTGCTCCAGTTCCAGGCTCCGATTGATCGCGCTGAGCAGCTTGTGCTTCCCCAGAGCCAAAGCTATGCCATTGTTGTTGTTGCCGATGTCGCCTCCTCCTCCGCTGCTGCTGTTGTTATTGTTCGAGTCCGTTTCCATGTCCATTGCGCGACTGTTGTTGTTGTCGTCGTACTTGCGGTCGTAGCCGCCGGAGAGCAGTTCCTCGTCATGGCCATTGTTCTGGGTGGCCTCGCCCGACAGGTCGTGCTCCACTTCGCGTTTTATCAGCTGTATGTCCGGCGTGGGCGTCGATGTGGGCGTGGGCGTGGGCGTGGGTGTGGGTGTTGGCGTTGAGCGTGTTGGGGTTTGTGGGCGGGCCCGGCTGCCATTTGCATTCGGGATTTGTACGAGATTCAAGGCTTCTTCATCATCATTGTGGCAGTTGCTGCCACTGTTGCTACTGTTATTGTTGTTGTTGTTATTGTTGTTGTTGTTGCTGCCACTGTTGGTCAGATGATGACTCTCCACGAGGCGTATCTTGAAGCTGTTGTTGTGCGTGGCCGGTGGCGGCGTCTGTGGCACAATTGTCGTAATGGGCTCCATGATGTTGCTCTCCTGCTGGCTGTGGGCGTGGCTGTGGTTGTTGTTGAGGGCGTCGTCATGCTGCTCGGCGCTCGGATACCGCTCCCGCTCTCGTTCCATCTCCTTGAGCCGCTTCTCCGCGCCCAGCTCCGTGTTGTAGTGCATCAGGATCTTGCGCTTGGCCAGATACTTGTGCTGTTTGCGGGCCGAGTCCAGCATCTTCTTGCTGTTGGCCTGCAGGATGGCAAAGGAGTTGTTGCTCTCGGCCTCTGTCAGATTGATGCTGCCGCCATTGCTATTGAAGTTGTTGCTGCTGCTGTTGTTGTTGTTGTTGCGATTGAGATTCTTGATGAAGGTCTCCGCCAGCGTCGCCTTCGATTTGATGTGCTCCCGGAAGCCGGCATAGCTGGCAGCTCCTCCGCCTCCGCCACCCCCGCTGGAGAGGGGCGTGGGACAGCGGTTGGGGCCATTGTGGGACGGTGACGGCGACGACTGGTGCTGGGGCTGTCCGCCGTAGCCGGCGGCATGTCCGCTGGTTATGTTGACGCTATGTGTGCCCCGCTCATACCGGCACTCGGTGCCGTCGCTCTCATGCGGCGAACTAATGTCACTGGCATCGCTGTCCAGGTTTTTCTGCAAGTGAAAGTCACATTTGAATAAAAGCGCAGATAATCCCCAGGCCATCCCCAGACCCACCTCTGTGTGCAACCCCTTGATCTTCATGGCCTCGGCCACCTTGAGGAACACCGGCAGATCCTCGTATTTAACGTTCACCTGGCCGCTGTACATGAAGTCGAGCAGTCCGGCCATGTGACCGGCCTCCACGTCCGCCATCAGCAGGATGGGGTGACTCGATGGGTTCTCCAGGAAGATCTGCTGGAAGTAGGGACTGCAAACAGACAGGACCTGCAACGACACAAGACAAGAGCGAAAAGAGAAGGGCGAAAGGAAAGGGCATTGTATGAGTGCGGGAGTTCTTGGGAGTGCGCCGCCTGTTTACCAGTTTGTGGGCCTTGAATATCTTGCCGCCGGCCGCAATGGTAACGTCCACCATTTTCTCGTCCTTCTGCAGAGAGTGGAAGCCGCGGCACATGTTGCCGTGGAAGTTATTCCACGACAGCAGATACTGGTCGATGGTGTTGGGATCTGTGTACGGCTGCTGCTGCTGCTGCTTGAGCGTCTGCTGCTGCTGCTGGTGCTGCTGCTGCTGCTGGTGGAGCTGCTGCTGGGCGGCCTGGTGCTGGGTGGCCGTGATGTGGATCTGCTGCGCCGTGGTGGGCGGCGAGCTGGGGCGCGGCGTGGGCGGTTGATGGGGATGAGCGAGCTGATGGTGATGCTGCTGCTGCTGCTGTTGCATGTGCGATTGCGGTGGAGTGTGTATCTGTGCCTGGTACGCTTGCTGGCGCGCCGCAAATTGTTGCTGCTGCTGCTGCTGCTGCTGCAGGGCATGCTGCAGGCCCGGTGGCGTCGACGAGGACGACAGGCGGTGTGGATGCGGCGATAAAGCCGGCTGGTGGCTCATGAACCGCTGCTGTTGCTGCTGCTGTGCCTGCTGCTGGGCCTGGTGGTGCTGCTGCTGTGCCTGCTGTTGGGCCTGCTGTTGTTGCTGTTGCTGCTGACGAGCATGCTGCTTGATCTTGACCATGTTCTCCTGCTGCTCCTGCTCGCGCTGGCGCATCAGCTCCTGCTTGATTTTGTACTGCTGCATGGACAGATCGTCCACGCTCTTGGACAGCTTCACCATCTCGCTGTTGCTGTTGAACTTGCTGTTCGGGAGCATCGGCTTCAGCTCGTATTTGTAGTCGCCAGCGGCTCCGCTGGCAGCTGCCGCCAGCTTCCGCTCGGCAGCCAGGGCGGCACGGTCCTTTTGCCGCCTGATCAGCTCATCGATGTCCATGTAGGCGCCGCTGGTGGCCGCGGCAATGGCCGAGGCGATGATTGGATCATCCTCGAAGACGCTGTCGTCGAGGGTCTCCTTCAGGGTCTTGGTGGACGAGAAGAGACGCAGCGAGGGATCGTTCACCTGGTCGCTGAAGTAGACATCCATCAGGGTGAAAAACGGCCACTCGCGGCGCTTCGGCTCCTCCGACATTTTGATGGCCTTGTACTCCTGCAGGAGATTGTTCCATTTCTTGATGATCTTCGACAGAGGCAGCGGCACATTGAGCTCCCGTTCAACCACGCTACAGATCAAAGGGAAAACAGAAATGGAAGTGCAAATGGACATTGAAATAGAGTGTTATGCAATCATATAAGCTTCGACTCATAAGCGTATCTGATGGATTGTCTGTCTACTTACGCCCAGGCATATTTGGAGGCATTTCGCTTGCCCGTGAACAGAGGCGACAGTTCCGCCCGTAATCTGATCAAAGATTTGACTTTTTCTGCTTCCCCTGCAAAATGAAAAGAAAAGAAATCAAATCAGATCAGATCAGATCAGATCAGCAAGGGGTTTCCAAATTGTATAAGAATGCGCCTTGGCCGTGGAGCAGTGGGCCGGCCGACTGAGGGCAATGATCTGAGAGGCTGCTGCAACTTTCCACCTGCCACCTTCCAAATGCAATTCAAGTTTAGACCCCGCTTAAGACCTCTTGGCCATAAAAAAGCGGCAACAAATTATAGAAAACTGCAACAAGCGGCAGCAAGGTGTTCAATGAACCCAAGGAGAGTGACTCCGAACCGAAGTGGGACTGGCAATCGGAATCGAGTGGGTAATCACAGCAATCATCTGAGACAGCGAATCGATCGATTGATCGGTTCGGCCATACGCGACTACTATATAGGCTGTTTGTACCCGTACCCGTATGCCTGCTATGCCTTCTGGCTAATTGCTTAGCAACTTTTACCCAAAAGCCCAAAAATCGAAACTGAAACTGAAAAATGTAGCCAAAAAAGCCAGCAGCCTGGCTCTCATCCATCTACTGTTGCAGAGATGAGCATGGGATGAGCTTGGGGGGGCTCTGCCTGGTTACATGGCTTAAGCCCATACATAGGTACATACATAGGTATTGTATGTATGTATGTATGTATGTACAACAACAATGTCCATAATGACTGAAAACTATTCAACGTTGAAGAATTCATTAGCAGATTTCACTTTCGCTCATGACGACGACGACGACGACGACTCTGGCAATCGCTTGTTTCTCTTCTCTTTATTTATTTACCGTAATTTCTACTCGTTCACTTTTTTCTATCCACTCGTCTCTCTTTCGGGGCTTTTGGGGGCTTTCGGGCAGCACTTCGGCTCTTCGGTATTTCTTGCCTTTTAACTGCGGTTGATTTCTTGTTTTTTTTTTTGTGGCTGGCTGGCTGCACTGCGTCCAAGAAGTCGCTGCCGCCACCTTGCCTGGGCCTTCGATGTGAATGTGAATGTGGATGTGGATGTGGGGAGAAAATTGTTTGCCGTTCGTCGAAGTCGAAGTCAAAGTCGAAGCCGGATCTAAGAAAGAGCTCCAGCTCAACGAAAGGCGGCTGCTTTGATTTTTCTTTGGGACCCCCAGACAAACTATAAAATATTTTTGGTCATTTCAGAGACCATTCTACAGACTACAGACTGCACGAAAAATGTGATGAAGAATGCAGGGAAGATGCCATCGGGGGCTACTTTCTAAATTTGAGAGGTATGCCCTGCCCCTGTGCCCTGGGGGTCGACTGGATGCGTCACTCGCCTGTGGAGACTGGTCTATGTCAAGGCAAGGGCCTTAGATTTGGCCAGATTGACATCAATCTTGTGGGATGGTTGAGCAATTCCCAAGCCCCCATTCGATACGTTTAACAGACTTATAACCTAGCCCAACCCCAAAAAAAGACGCGGCGCGATCGTTAACAGACAAAAATCAGCAAGAAAACGAAAAAAAGAAAAAAAACATAACAAGCCAAAAAAATATTATTCGCTGGCCAAAAGCAGGCAAACAACGCGCGGCGTCGTCTTGCCAAACAACCTCAACCTTCTGCGTTGCTCTACGCGCTACGAGCATGATCGTGACATGCTCAGGTTCCATGCTCCACGTTCCCCCCACAGCCAGCCATAACTGGAGAGGGGGGGGGGGAGGGAGGGAATCGCTGAGTGGTAGAGCGCTCACAAAAGTTTCACTTTCTTTGCAACAAGTTTTGTGCGTCTGCGCATACAGGCATGCCCCGTACCCATACCCATATGTGTGCGTGAGTGTGTGTGTGTGTGTGTGTGTCTCTGAGGTTGGCTTCTTTCGGTTTCTACTTTCCGTTTGCGCCCTTTTATGTAACCCAAATCCTCGCAGCAGCAGCAGCAGCTCTTCCTCTTGCTCTTGCTCTTGTGCTGTGGATGCTGCGGTGGCCACCGCTGCTTCTTTGGCAGACAACAACCCAATGGGTCTGTGTCTTGGCAGAGTGGCTATCAGGGGGCTACAGCAAGCAGAAGAAACAACGTTTACCGTTAGTTTCTCTTTTGGCCTATATTTTGACGAAGCGAAGCCACAGTCGTCGTCACCGTCAGCGTCGACGTTGAATGGTTGTTGTAGCCTGTTGTTGTTGTTGTTGTTGTTGTTGTTGTTGTTGCATGCTGATGGGTTCTTTATCTCTCTTTCTCCAACTCTATCTTTCACAGTGTGTCTGATTGTGTGCTCTGTGCCCACTTCCGTTTTGGAGGAGCAGAGCACTTTCGTGGGTCGAGAACCGGTTCTATTTTTACGCCACGGAACTGCAATTCCCATAGAAATACTACGCTTTTCGGGGGATCGCCCACATATCATTCGTAGAGGAACGGTTAAGGGGAGGAAGCTTTAAACATGATTCTGAATCGTTTTTTTTTGGTGTTCCAATCACGTCGTTGCCTTTATAATTGGCGGCCGCCGACTGATAGAATTCCATGTTTTATTGCCTTGGACTATGGCTACTTAGAATGGCTGATGATGGCTGGATGGCTGATGATGGCTGGATGGCTGATGATGGCTGGATGGCTGAATGGTTTGTTGGTAAGCTTCTTTGGGGCCCGGTTTCCATTGTGTCTCCGGCTCTGGCTCCGTCTCTGGCTCTCTGTGCTGCGGTTCGTTTCGTTTCGCTTGCTTTCTTTTTGCCACGCTTATTTGGCTTCTTGCACTTTTCTTTTTCTTTCACTCGGGCGCAGAGCAGAGCCAGAGCCTCGTACCTCGTATAGAAACGTAAATTGTGAAGGCTTCTTGCTTAATTCTTTGTTTGTTTGATTAAACGTGGAATTGTTAACCGTGACGTTTCGTTTTTTTCGTTTTACTTCTCTTCTTTTCTTTCATTCTTTCTTTTTGGTTTGCATCTCTCCTCTTTGCGTGAGAATTTCTAATTGGGTCAGGATTTGTGTAGGTTTCTTCTTGGTTCTTCTGCTCTCTCTCTCTATCTCTCTCTCTCTCTCTTTCTGGCTGCCTGCATGCCATACAACGTTGCAGGCAGGCTGAAATTAATGAAGCATTTGACGTGCCCTACTCTCGATCAGCTCTCCGTACTGAAAGTGATCTTCGGGAGAATGGAACTGGCTTCGATTCAATGGCATGGTACTCGAATTCCACTTGAGATTGGGATTGAGATATGGGCATTTCGTGCGACATTGATTGATGGGGAGATGGGGGGGACACAGTGCTTTTCAGAATAATTGTTGGACTTTTACCTTTGAAAACTCAAGCTGAACTTCAAAACCTCTGCCTGGAAAAATGCCATTCCTTAAACGAATGCAGGAATTCCTATGGGTATGGAGCCCCAACTTGGGCATTGATATGGTAACCCGATCTCCATGCCGAATCCCAAAGAAATTGTAGCCCGAGCATGAGGCGGCTTTCCCAGCTTAGTTTTCTTTTACTGCTGCTGCTGCTGGTGCTGGTGCTGCATTTCCTTTTCCTTCGCTTCGGTTCGGTTTGGTGTTTTCTCTCCAGCAGCCAGCATTGAAAATGCGCATACGCCCCATACGCCAGCTCCCAGCTCGAGCTTCAGCTGCAAGTCATCGACCAGGCAGCCAAGCAGCCAAGCAGCAAAGCAGCCAACGGCAACCTAGCGAGTGGAGTGCCATTTAATTCTTGGCTTTTACTTTCTCCCAAATGATGCACAAATGAGTCTGGAGAGGCAAAGCGAAACGGCAAAGAAAATACGAGCGGCACTCTTGTTTATTATGATATTTTCAAAAGAAAAGTCAGAGCTAGAAGAAAGTCCCGAGAGTCGACACAAAAGACAAAAGTCAAAAGTTGCTAATAGGCTGGAAAAATTCGCTGGAAAATGGCTGCAAAATAGATGATATAAAACCGAAAACTGAGCAGCAAAGCGGCGGTGGAGCGGTGGAGCGGATTAACTTGTTGTTGGGGAATTTTCTTTTGCCAGCGGACTTTTCTCTTTGTGTTGCTGCTTTTCCAATTCTGTTGCTGTTGCTGTTGCTGTTGCTGTTGCAGTTGCAGTTGCAGTTGAATGTACGCTAACCGACAGTGGAGTGGAAATTCCGCACCACATATAATCATGACCAGCCAACGTCATGATCATGATTATCATCGTCATCATAACGAGCCACATCATGGCTGGCAATCATCGTCATTATCATGGACATCACATCGTCAGAAGTAATTTAGGAAAAATCATTTCTTTCATTTTTCTTTCTTTCTTTTTTATGCCCTCCACTTTGTGCATTTCTCTGGCTGGTTTGGCTTTGGGAAAATTTTCGCTGAACTTTTCATGCATGCAGCATCGAGTCGAGTCCCCGTAGAAGCGAACAAATTTTGTGGTAATCTCATTGTTTGCGAGAAGGTTTATGAACCTTTACAAAAAGATTTTCTTTTCGCCCCTCTCTTTGATGTTTGTCATGCACTTGATACTCTGTTGCCTGCCGCATATTTTCTACAAAAGTCTCTGGCTTTTCGAAAGTGCAACAGCGATTTGTGGCAACAGCAAACATTTACCATTTACCATTTACCATTTACCAATGAACATTTGCCTGTTTGCATTTTCTAATTGCTGTTATGATTTAACGGACTGCTAATGAGGGGAAGAGCGAAAATCACTTTTGATTTCAGCAATCTCAGAGTCCAGCTCCTCCCCATTAATATTCTTATCATGGCGGGGCATATCATTGGCACAGCCAACGCTAACTGTAGGCGAGTATATAGACAGACATATATATAGTATCTACCTGATTCAAGAGCTGTCGGCTTGCCGTTCGGGCTCGGGTTCGGTTCGGCTCACATGAGAAACTTTCACTTTGCGCCGTCAGAAGCAACAGCAAAAGCGAAGCAACAATAAAAACCCAAAGCTCTAATGTTAATGTAAATAGCGGTAAGAGCCGCCAACCCGTACACCCATACACACACACACACACACACACACACACACACAGATACACATACGCATAGCATTACGTGCTTGAGATACGTCAGAGCAGATAGATACTCTCGTTTATTGAAACAAAGAAAGAAAAAAGAAAAGAAACCCCAAACAGATGCATTCAAATGCCAAATCATTTATTAAAAAAACTACTATGGTTGGCCCAACTTCAAGAGAAATACAATAATAATAAAAATCAAATTAAATTGCGGCATCTTACATAAAAAAAAAAAAAACTTAACCTTCCCCACACACGAAACCCACAAAATGGTTTCATATATATTTTTTTTTTTTTCGTTTTTCTCTCTGGGTTTTTTTGCGCCCTCGCCCTCGCTCCTACCACAATTATCCACTCGAAATGTGGAATGACTTGTACTTAATCATAAATATTCGTATATGTATTCGAAATTAGTTTGGTAACTTTCTATCGTTATTGGACAGGCGACTGCTATTACTCATCTGTATAAGTCTGTTGTCCCGATTGGATCTCTCAGCATCTCTTCAATTTCTGGGTCACTTCTTTTTGCCTATTATTCAATTGGCAGACCACAAAAGGTGCTCCCTGCCACGGGGGAGGCACTCTTCCGCTGGTGGGGCCACAATGGAGGAAAAACCTAAAGTGAAAGTTCTAATAAACCAGCGGGTACGAGCTCCGGCCGGCCACAATCAAAATATGCAACAGAGCGCGCAAAGGGGGGCTGGAGAGGGAGCTGCCACTGTGTTGTGGTAGTCCGTGGAGTAGAGTGTGCGAAAGAAAGGCAAAAGAAACACCGATGAATGGAGCGGATGGTTGTTAAAATAAAATTAAGCATTCCTTTTTGCGCAGAGTCTGTCTTTTCTATTTCAGGGCGAACAATACTGTCTGATTCTTTCTTTATCTTTCAGTAATTCCGAATTAATTGCAACTTCATCAGTGAAATGTATCCATTTCGCACTGGCCATCGATCAACCCAGGGGCTGCCGCCCCCCCGCTCCCTGGGGCGGGGAAAGCCTCTTCGCCTGCCACTTCTTGCGGCGATTGCATAAAACATACTGTTGGCTCCCAAAAACGCAAGCATTACAAAAGAATTAATAAGCAATTGCATAATGGAGGAGGCTACGTGTGGGACTAGGAAGCGAACTACTAAAACCTAGAAAATAAAGAAAAGAAAAGAAAGCAAGAGCTGAGGGGTATCTGTCGTATAGTCGTATAGATTGGGCTACAACTTTTCCCAACAAGTGGAGTGGCTAATGACATTGGCCAGATAGATCCGATGCTGCGGTAACTTTCGAGACGAATGACAAGATACAAGATACTGCCAGGTATTGCATAATGTGCCATACGAAAATAGAAAACAGAGAAACAGAAACAGAAACAGAAACATCGACAACAATCGAAAAACAGGGGAAAAGGGGTAAAGGGGCAAATAACGCCGCTGAAGAAATTGATGTATGTCTGTCAGTAATATCATTTGTAGCGGTTTATCAGCCAACGGTATTATTGGGCAACCTCCACTCTCCACTCCACTCGACAACCCCCTTTGATGGCCGCCAAACGCCAACATTTAAACTATTTTCTTGTTATGTACTTCAGCCGCAAAAAGATACAAATTTTGGCAACACTTTGGATTTTTTGACGAACACAAAACCCGATGAGTCATTCTAGATAATTAATGATAAACAATAAACAATAAAATCACAATCGAACGACCAGAAACCCGAAACAGACCGAACAGACAACATTGCGTATACGCAACATGGGCCAGCATCGAGTTTTTTTTGGGAGTTCGAGAGAGATCCACACGCGTCGCGTTGCCTCGCGTCGTGCAGGAACTGTTGCAATCCCCCTGGCCTTTCGGTCTTTCTCTGTCTGCTAGCTGTGGGACATTGAACTCGAAACAGCAAAAGTTTTTGTAAACAAAACTCGATTATGCAAGAGCCTTAATTATAATGGAAATGGAAATGCCACAAACATACAACAGACATACAGAAACTTGCAGTTTGGTTTGGCTGCTATTTCTGCCTCTGACTGACTCTGGCTCTGACTCTTGCCTGTTGTTGATTCGAAGCCAAAATTGAAGGCTAAGCGTGTTGAGATTGGCAATTGGTGAGGGATACTCCTTTCTGTTTAGCCATTTGCATGGCTCTGAAAACTGGGTCAATTTTTGACAGGACCAGGACTCATGGACAACATTCACCCCGAGAGAGAGAAGAAAAGAGAAGCAAAGACTTTTAATAGCCAAGAGAAGAGAAATTAATGAACGGCACAAAGGAAACATAAATTCTGCAGCTGGAAAGGGACTCACAGAAGCCACAGATACAGCCAGAGAGGCAGAAGGCAGAAGGCAGCGTCGGCTGTCGACGAGAAAGAAAAAAACGAAGCAACGAAGCAACGAAGCAACAACTTTCACCTATTAATATTCGTGTCGTACAAACGGCAGAAGCGAGCTGCCGTCAGGCAGTGAAAGAGGCAGCGGACAGAGACAGCAGACAGCAGACGGCAGCGAGTAGAAGCAGCAGCAGCAGCAGAAGAAGAAAAGACAACGACTGCTACTAGTCGACTGCTGGCGATGCTCAACAAAAGCCACATCGCATCGCATCGCCATCCGCCGCTTGGCTGGCTGTGACAGAGCCTCCAAACTGGCTGCAGCTCCAACTCCGACTCCGATTCCGATACCGACTGCCACTGGATGAGCATGAGAGCCGCCCACCCCCCTTCCTCTGTGGCATGAAAACTTTCTATAAAAAAGTTGTTTTTGCTTTTTGTTTTGTAAATTTCTTTCTTGCTCTGCAGGTTGCCTGCTCGGCGGCTCAGCGGCTCAGCGGCTCGACTTGGATTGTTTGTTTGTTGCTTTCGCCGTGCATTCTGCGGAATGACTTGCAAGAGGGCAAAAGGTGGGGGAGGAGAGTGTCTAATCGAGCCACCCCTTAACCCCAAGTGTGGGCGATACGAGTTTCGAGTCTCTAATTGATAGAACAAGTTTGGTTAAAGGACAGTAGATGGTTAAGAGCAGCATTGGGTAGTATAAGAATTATTAAGTATACGCAACCAGGTACCCATATCTAAAGGAATCATAGTGTTCATAGTGTTTCGAAGGCTAGGACCTCCTCTGTCTCTCTCTCGCTCTCTGTGTGTGTTCAACTTACAACAATATCTGGTTGAGTACTGGCAGTTTGCATTGACTGTTGGTGTCATAATCTCGTTGGCAGCCATATCCAATTTCAATTGCCACAGGTTCTCGATGATAGTATCCTTGCTGTATCCTTGCTGGCTGGCTGGCTGGCTGGCTGGCTGGCTGGCTCGGTGGTAATCCAAATTTCTTTGATTCGATTTTGATAGTTTTCTCTTGAGGCTGAGACTTATTTGGTTTGCCTGCTGCTGGTTGTCATTGTACGATGGCAATATTTATAATTCAAGTGGCACTCACGCACACCTTGGAGCAGCCCCGAAAAATCACTTTCACTTTTGCCTTGGCGTTTTGATATGCGGAGAACACAAGACGACGACGATGATGATCGGTCTGGTCGTTACCAAAGACTGGGTAGAAAACTATAAACCATCCGCAAAGTCAAGAGAAGTCAACATTTTGATTGCATTTCGGATGGCATGGTGCTGCAGATGCACACCTTACTATATATACAATATACAATATTTTTCACACTGGGTGGGGGTGGGGGGGCTGGTAGCACACTCTTTCGCGGGGGGACACACTTTTCTGTATAGATATTTTGTTCGTCCGGCTGTTGGGTTGTGTTCACTGCGCAGGCGCGACGCTACTGAGGCGGACTTTCTACGAGTGCTTCGAGTTGTAGTTCTTCACGCAGTTCCAGATGTTGGTTTGGTTTGGTTGCTGGTTGCTGGTTGCTGCAGCAGCTTGTTGCTTGTCTGTGGTGCGATGGAGATTCTTGCGCGCCGAACGTTTCGAACGTAACGTCTGCCTCGAACCACTGTCGACGTCTGTGCGGCAGCGCACAGTGAAACCAGCGCTTATCCTCAAAGATCGCCTAAGAAATTTCATGCCCATTCCATTTCGTTTCTCATCGGCAGCAACAGCCACAGCAACAGCGACGCTTTCGCTTGCCACAGACACACACACACACACACACAGATGCATGGCTGGATGGTATGGGTTCTTCGGTGTGTGCTTTTACCATTTCTTTCACAGATACATACACACACACACACACACCCCGAGCAGAGGGAAGCTCTCGGGTTCGTGTTCAAGTTTGGTTCTTCGTTGAAGTCTTTTGTTTTGGTCCGCAGTTTGTGCTTCGCCATGTGCTTCGCTTCGCCTCGCTTCGAGTAAGAGTTTCGCCTTGGGAGCCACCACACACACACACACACACACACACACAATTATTTACAGTTTCAATTCCAATACGTTCCCCGACTTTTATAACTTTAACTTTCATCGCTGTCGCTGCCGAAGTGGAAGTCGAAGCCTCGCTTCTAAGCGACAATCTTCGGGCTTTTTGGTTGCTTCTTTCTCTTCTCTTCTTTCCTTTCCCTTCTTTGCCTTTGCCTTTCCTTTCCCTTCCTTTCCGTTTTGCTTGCGCATGTTGCAAATTACAACTTTCGTCTATTTTTGTCAAGATTTTTTTGATAATTATATAATTTAAACCGTATTTTTTGTTTGTTTGTGGCCTTTGTTTCCAGCCAGACACAATTTTTATTTTTGCGCTTGCCTTTCCATGGAAGCCATTGTGTGGCTTCAGTTTTTACTTTTCTTTGTGGCTAATTACGCACAAGGAGAGTGAAACTCCATTAGATTCTTAATTATACTTTAATTGCCCCCAAACAACGGAGCCCCAGCCAGCCAGCCAGCCAGCCAGCCAGCAAAGCAGAAATTATCTTTCAGTATTTCTCGAGTGCAGTCGGTAGTTGCATTTGGAAATCTTTCACTGGCTGCATTTAGTATCTGTTGTTGCCAGTTGCTTTAGTTGCTTTTGTTGCCTGCCCCATGCTCAGTGAGCGTTGCAAGCTCTGGCTCTGACTTTAGCAGGAGGCTCCATTTTAAGTATCTTTTGGGAGCTCTCTGTACACTTACAGTTGTTTCTTTTGTTTCTTAGCTCTTGCTGATGCGGCTGCTGTTGCTGCCCCTCTGCCTGCTGCTGCGTTGTCGTTGTAGTTGTGGAAAAACTTTCTAATGTAGAAGATGTCTGCTATACACCACACACCGCATGGTGTACATTTTCCCTGGCTCTAGACCATTGTGCCGCCGCCGCGATTGAATTGCCCGCCGCTGCTCACACAGTAGGCCTATAAGGCCTCTGTTTGTTCTGCGGTTTTTTTCCATTTCCTTTGTGGATTTTTCTCACAGCTCAAAGAATTGTCGAAAAATTGTCCAATGTAAAAGCGCTACCAATTCTATGGGCCCCTATGCCATCGATTGATGGTAATTCTGCTGCGTCCACTGCTGCTGCTGCTGCTGCTGCTGATGGGTGAAAGTTTTATGCTAAACCCAAGGGACTGTTACATATATAGAGAGATATAAATCACTTCATTACGTGCACTTTTCCCCATCTAAGAAGCAGAATGCAGATACAGATGGAGTTTCGAAATACTGCCCGATCATGGTGTCATCTGCCATCTCCAGAGACTTTCCAACCGTCTAATAGGCCCAAGACCCAAAACCCAAAACCAAATTTTTTTGTATTTACATGCTAATATGGAAACGGAATATTTTGTTGTTTCTCTTTTGATTTTGATTGCCAAATGATGGGGCCAGCAACAATAGCAGAGCTAATAGATTTAATTGGAAGCCCGGTTGGTTATATAAACCTGAGAGCAGCCCCAGAACCGCAACGAAAACTCTCAACAAAGATACAGAAAGATACGAAAAAGATGTATCTGTATCGCTGGGCAAATGATTAATGCAGCCAAAAGCCGAGACCTCAAAATCCAGAAATCGTATTTTCACTTTTTACTAATTAACATAAAATTATTAACAAGACGCGCCAAGACGGAGGCAGAAAACGCCCGAAGAACCAAAAAGAAAGAAAAAAAAAGAAAAAAAGAAAAAAAGAAACGATGCCAAACGCATTAAGCCAGAGAGCACCCCAAAGCCAAAGAATAAGCCATGAAAGTTGTAAATTTTCAAAAAGAGTAGAGAGAGATCTCTCTGTGTGTGATTTCATAAAGTCTCGTAAAAGAACGCATGACTAAGGGCCAGCAGCAGCCGAGAAGAAGACTAAATACACTCGAACATTAAGCCAGGCCAAAAGAATTTTAAGTGAAATGAGTTTGAAAAGCCTTTCCCGAAAGCGGCCATCGTGGGGCCTGACCCAATTACCCATTTAAGCCCAAAAGACCAAACGAAATAACCAAAAAAGAATCGGAGAAGAGGTGGCTGGTGGCTGGTGGATCGCGAGCGGGATGGAGAGCGGCAGCTGGGGCACAAGACGAGTAAGTAACAGTTATGTGACGGGCAGACAATCGAAAGTTTATGTCATGCTGCCGACAGCAACAGAGCGGCAGTGGCAGTGGCAGTGGCAGCCTGAAGATACGAGCATACTTATATCTGTGGCAAATCCGACAGGCGTGCAGGAGCAGCTCTAATGGCCCTGGATATGGATGGATAGTTCCTTGGGAAGCAGGGGTTTGGCTCAAGAGACACACACACAAGATGGTTTGTGTGCGGGATCTGCCTTTCCCAGCCACAAGCGAGTGAAATATAAAACAATGTTTTTTTTTCGAAAGTCATGCCAACAAAATAAATGGTTCTTGTGCGAGTATCTTTCATAGGCCTACCAGTAACAGTACCAGCCAGCCGCCAGCACGAACAATTGAGAGCAATAAAGCCGCAAGAAAAGAAAAAGTAACTTCACACCAACAAAGCGCACACAGATACACATACACCACCACCATCATACAATGGGCAGCAGCGTCCGTTGCTGACCAGCAAATCGAAAAGATACACGAAAAAGAGAAACAGCAAATAAAAATAATAAAATCGAAACATGAAACATTCTGATTGTATGGAGCAGAGCCCCTGGAAGTAGGTCAAGCAGCGACGTTGCCGTCACCGTCACCGTTGCTGCCTCTGCCTCTGCCTCCGCTGCTGCTGTTGCTGGCTTCGTCATCGCCAACGCGCTCTTGGATTCGGCTTTGGTTTTGGCTTTGACGTTCGATCTAGCAGTGGGTCTCGGTCCCGGTCTCGGTCTCGGTCTTGGTCTTGGTCTTGGGCCTGGCCTACCTTCCGCTGCTGCGGCGGGGGGAACACACAGACACAGACACAAGGAGAACAAAATAAACCAGACACAGATACAGATACAGACACAGACACCGCTGACGGAATACTTAAGCATCCGCGTCCACTTGCACTTTCTTTTTCCAGCTCTGCTCTGCTGTGGCTTTTTGCTTTTCTCATTCTCATTCTGTTGCTTTTCCAGTACCCAGTCCCATGGCTCGAGTTCGTGTCTTGAGTCTTTCGTTTGGCTCGGGAGCACGTTTGCTTCGGTTGGCTTTCGCTTTGCTGTGCTTTGCTTTGCTTTGCGCTCTTTCCCCCTTCCCCCCGCTTTGGCGTTGGAGGTGCTGCCAACAAAACGTGTTCTGCCCAGCTTTTGGAGGCTCGTGTTTGGCAATCTATTAGATTCGACGATTGGGCCAGCTATTTTGAATATCATTTTTATTCGATTCGATCTAATGATGAATCAACCCACACTTCTGTAAGACATGACTAGAACATTAACAATTAACAGAAATGGGAAAAGCTTTGGGAAATTTTTTTTTGTAGCTAGAAACAGTCTTTAGAGTTCAATATAATTTAAGGAAAAAATTATTCTTTTTTTATATAAAAGATATAAGTAAATAAAATATTTTATATTTATATCAAAATTTAAGTAAAAATAATTTGTTATCTCTGATGTCGAACGGGACAAAATAAGTCGGACAAAAGTATATTATTTTTTTTTTTCATTTAAATTGTATTTGAATAAAATATTTATCACAGATACACCGAATTATGTGGTTTGCTCTTACTGTTAGACACGGGAAAAAGTATATTGAGTATATTGAAATGATTTTTTATTGATTTTTAATTTTGGACCTTTCCATGAAGAGCCCATATTAGTATAACGAGGGGGAACGTTGTGAATTGCTGCTGCGACCGCAACTCTACATTTATGCCCGATACTTAGTCAGTACGGCTCTCATCCGGCAGACGGCGTTAACATTGAACGAAACAGATTGCGTGCGAGAGAGACAGAACATGTCGTCGGGCAGTGCGTAGCGACCGAAAATTGATTTCTTACTGTTGGCTATAATAATAATGCGATCTGATCAAGATTCAACAATCTGGTAGATATGGTCATTCTCTATGATTGATTCTCTATCTCCACAAATCTTGGTCCTTTATGGGGGCGAAATGGAGCAGGACGAAGTTTTGAAATACACTTCTACCAGTTACATATCACACAAGAAGTTGATCTAGCTCTTATAGTCTTTGAGCACTGGGCGCTCATAGGGACGTACAGATGGACGGACAGGCGGACAGACAGACATGGCTCAATCGATTCGGCTATTGATGCTGATCAAGAATATATATACTTTATGGGGTTGGAAACGCTTCCTTCTGGACCTTACACACATCCATTTTCACCACAAATCTAATATACCCCTAAACTCATTTTGAGTATCGGGTATAAAAATACTTGTTTTTTTAGCGTTCTGATATACCGAAGGAAAAGTCTTTATAGGGCCGAAAGTACTTACTTTCTGCATTACGAAAACTTTGCAACATTCAAACACCCTTCTATTCTTTATCATCTGTTGAGTGCACTCTGTTGAGTGCACCAAACTGATTGAGCTGTTGGAAACATTCCTCGACAAGTTCGGAGTTTATCATGAATGATCTAAGCGCTCAAAGCACTGCTTGGCTGTGCGAGAAAATATAGACGTGAAAGCCTCGCATTCGTAGGCGATTATGGGCAATGTTTAACCAAAAAGCCTACGGCAAGTAAAGAATGCTCTTGAGGGTTTTTTTATGGTCGTTTGTAGGGAAGGGACAAGTTAAGTCCAAAGTCCACAAACCTTGTACCTTCTTTTATTTTCATGAGCACTTTTGAATTTTTCCCGCTTACTTTTGAACTGCCTCGCAGGGATGATATTGATAAATGAATCTATCGAAAACAACAAGTCCACTAGATGGCGGCACTGTACTTTTACATCAATTTCATACCATACAGTATACCATTTCAGCTTTTGTCGAGTGACAAATCGATAACGATTTAAAGCGGCGAGCTTCTGTCAGAGTGACATTCGACAACAGCATAGAGGAGCCACCACCACGAGCAATCAGCTGTCGGGATTTATCTTGGGATTTTTCCTCGCCACAATGTCCTTTTTCCCCTCAACAATGTCCCTTACATTCCATCCTCACTTACGTTTTCTTACGTGTTATGCTGCTGGCAACATTCAATTTGTATGGACCAGACTCATGTGCCGTGAAATCGAGCAGCATTGTTCCCCAACATGGTGCGGATTGAGCAACATTTTGCATACCCTGGGAAATGGATGATCTAGAATGGAGGAAATGTTTGTTATCTAATGCACCAATATAGGCAAAAACTAGTCAGTCTCTGTTTTAAAGGTATTTCAACGACATTTTGAGGGTAGTGTTCTTCTTACAGAAACCAAGAATGCGTATCGGGATCGAGATATAATTACAATACCCTAATCATATGCATTAATATGTCTAAAACATAACAATCTGAGATAATTTCTATATTAATTACGTTTTAAAACACCTTGGAAAACCAGTTTCTTCATAAATATCAACGAAATAGGGTATAGCTGAGCCCAAACTCCGGTTGACGTGACATTTCATACTCACTTACGTTACACTCCATACTAACTTACGTTGCCACTGTTTTTTTGTTGACCTTTTTTGCCTAAACCTTGTTTTATACACTACACAATAAAAGAGTGTACTTAAAAGTAGTCAATCAGGTAGACAATTTATTCATTAATGGTCTAAAATTATGTGGGCAGAGCTAATGGTTTTAGTTAGGCAGCATTATTCAACGGAATAAAGAAATTGAACAATTGGAACGATTTTTCTCTTACGTTTTATTACGTTTCATTTGTTTGACCTTTTTCGCTAAAACCTTTTTTTAAGCAAAATCCAAAAAAAGCAAGTATTAAAAATAAGCCAGCTAAGTAGAAAATTGATTCATCAATCGTATAAAAATATGTGGGCATGGCTAAATGTTCTATATAGCTGGGAATATTCGACGGAATAAAGAATTGAGCAATTGGAACGATACTCGTTTGTTTATGCTACTGTTGTATGAGCAAAAGTGCCTTGTGCGTCTGCCTACAGTGGCTTCAAATGACAGTAAGTCCTGATGTTACAGGGCACTCCCCAAAAACAGCCGCTGTTCCACGGCTATTCCGTGCTTTCCACCTTCTTCGCATTTACAGTTAAAGTCGAGCCACAGAGTCTGCAGCGATGCCGAAACGACCAGCGGCGTCCTTTGGCGAAGTTGTGGCCCACTACTCCCTGCCTCAGCCCCCAGAAGACGAATTTCATAGGAAATCAATTGAAAAAGGAAGAAAAAGAACAGACCGCGGACTGAGGGTAGGGGTGGAACAGCTGTTCGTCTGAAATGGCATCTGGACACCGGCGTCTTCAGGATTCTGGAGACAGGAAGATAATAAGAAAAGCTATAACGGCGTTTTATTCGGAACAAAATCTAAAGTTAACCATGTCAAAGTCTCGCCAACTTGTTGACGAAATAACCAAGTTATTTCCAAATGAAATGAAAGATCATTGGATCTGCGGGAGCCTAAATCGTGTAAATTTCTACAACAATATACAATCAAAGAAGTATGAGCTAAAAAAGAAGACTAAGGCTAACAGTATACCGCCATCCAACGCTCCTGCTGTAACACTCTGCTGCCATGCAGACAAACTTACATGCAGCACCTGCGCGGAGTTCACCTGTACAAAATGCAGTGCATCCTGCAATAAGTGCACCCAACTGATATGCAGCAGCTGCGAGTTTTCCAAAAGAGCATTGTAAGTCTATCTATCTTTTTCTAACATTCTAACAAATCTAATATGATCTCTAATGTCTCTTCCACAGAAATCTGGAACTGCTTTGCCATATGTGCGAAAAGTTCCAGGTCTAAAATTTTACTTTCGTGTCAGCAACAAATTTCAAAAGTTGTGCCAAAATAATTAGGAAAATCATCGATGTCTGCAAAGTACATCCAAACATCGATGACAATGTTTCGACGTTTCAGCTCTAATTTCTGTAATCTAATTAATCTAATCTAATACTTAATTATAACGTGGTCTTTTCTTAAGCAAAGGTTGGGATGGACCAACAGGAGTTTTTATTATATGTGTTATTTATATGTTTTCCAGCGGTTTAACTACAGTTTCCATCCCGTTTAAATAGAGGGGGGTTAAGTGGGCTAAGTTTGTTTTTTCATCGGCGCTCTCTCTCTCTCCGAGGAACGATAAGCGTAGGTGTGACCACCAGTGCTGCCGATTACGCTTTTTTACCGTCAGATCTGGCTTTTTTTAAAGACCATATCGGGAAAAATTTACAATCAAAACACAAAAAAGGGAAAGCGAAAGTACCGCCAAAGCCGAACGTGAACCCTAGGCTTAGACGCTGTGCTGGACCAAATTCAAATGATACCATTCAAATACAGACCAGCGGCGACCTTTTTCGCTAAAACCTTATTTTAAGCAAAATCCAAAAAAAGCAAGTATTAAAAATAAGCCTGTTAAGTAGAAAATTGATTCATCAATCGTATAAAAATAGGTGGGCATGGCTAAATGTTCTATATAGCTGGGAGGATTCGCCGGAAGATCAAAAACGAGGAATATGTAAAATATAACTTGAATTTGTCAGTATATTTACGGTATATTTTTAAAATGAGATGGTATATTTTGCTGTATTTCCGAGGGTCTGGCAACGCCAAAACGGCGATGGTTTTTTGACATCGATCTATCGATAGTGCCATCACAGTCCGCCATATTGTCCGCGTCAGTGTTTGGCTCTGGCAACGCCAAATCGTCGGGCGATAAAATAGAAATAAATGAGAAAAAAATTGTGCGAAGCGAGAACATGGAAAACCCCCATGCGCGTTGTTTAAGAAAAGATCCAACAATTGTGTGTGCATCGTGCTAAATCGTGGTTACATTGTGCGTACAACGAAACGCACAAAATACTACATATATTTTAGGCAGTTTACAACTTCATTCGTGCTTCTGCTCTCGTCGGCGCGGCGCTCTTTTCGTTGTATGGGCCGTGCGTAACAAATAAAATTGCCAAAAAATCACGGAAAATGCACAGAAGCTGTGCGGAAATGTAAATAAACGAAATTCGAATGAGCAATGCGTGTTTCAGTGTAATTCGTTTAATCAAAATGTGTGGAAAAGGAAAAATCTTGTGACGACGACGACGACGACGTGCTGCTGCTGCGTTCATTGACGTGACGCGCGAGTGTGTGTGTGTTTTGATGTGTGTTGGCGCGTGGGCCAGTGTGTGTGTAGCTGAATGTGGCTGCGAATTGTTGTCAAACCAAAAATATACATACAACAAAAGCCAGCGTGGAAGCAGCAACAAACAAAACACCACAACACAGCAGAAATAGCAATACAAAAATAAGCATAAATTATTTAATAACAACAACAACAAGTTGTCCAAAGGAAAAGAAAGCCAACAGTCAGTCGCGTGCAGTGCAAAATGTCTCTCTCGTTTGAGTGTGTGTGTGTTGAGTGTATAGAATTGAATAAGCAGTGGCACACAGCAAGAGGAAATAGGCAAGAAGTAGTTTAGTCCAAGCAGCAACAAGAGAAACGGAACTGTCAAATACGAAGAAGTAGCGGGCCAACAACTGCCGCACAAATGAAGCAATCAAATTTTGTATAATTTTTGCACAAGCCAAAATTTGTCTGTACCCCCCACTACCCCCCACACCACCCTCTACAACAAAACAGCAGCACAGGGAGCATAAATCTTTTGCCAATGAGTCGCAGACAGTCATTGGATCGACCAGGTGAGTGTATAGAAAAAAAAAGAATGCCTAATGCTCTTCTCTCTTGGCAAAGAACAGAGAGAACAATCAACGGAAATGCTGATGCTAAGTTGGGGAGAGAGCGAGAGATGCTGCTGCACACGATGTGCACTTTCCGCGCCTGCTCTCGTTCTCTCCGTCTCTCGGAGTCTTGCTGCTAAAAATAACAGCACTCTCTCTCTCTCTCGCTGTGCGATGCGCAGCTGCTCTCAAACACTTGAACTGTCGGCTTTGTAAACATCAACCAGAAGCAGAAAAATTAGAAGCATCGGCAAGCAGTAACAAAATAACTGTATAATTACTCTTTTGCAATACAAAAAGAATCTTGAAATATGAATGGGACGACATCGCACGCCCCCCCCCCCCCCCCCCCCCCCCCCCCCCCCCTTTGGTGGCAGTGTCTCACTCGCTCGCTCGCTTGCTGGCAATTCTATTTATAGAGGTAAAACTCGAGCGAGGAAAAGAGAAAGTATGTCTGGCTGGGCCACTACTGTCACTGTCTCTTGAGCACATGTAAATGCGCACTGTCTGTGTGTGCGTCTGTGTGAGAAAGAAAGAAAGCAAGCAGTGGACGTAATGGCCAATAACCATAAACAAAAAAAACTACTAAAAAAAATTCCCCAACATTTTGCTTATGCCAGTTTTTGTGTTTCGCTCAGGTTGTAAATATTGTTAAAAAGGAAAAACACGGCAGGAATGTTGTCTAAATACGAGTATAAACTGCAATTAGCATTGAATGCCGCTTTCCGTACAACTGTCTGGCCACCCGGCACCGCCCACTAAAATACTTACACCTGCTTTTGCGTGTCTGTAGTCTTTAATTTATTTATAACATTCAATGTAAACTCTGGCTAAAGCGCCAGCGAGAACACAAACATTCCCGCGCGCAAAGGCAGCAGCCAAGAGGCCGCCGACTAGGAGATACCCTCTAAAAAAGAGAGTGAACATGGCGAAATGAGCGGTAAAGGGATGGCAAAGCAGTAAATAAGAGGAGATGCTTCTACCGCTTGTTGCCTTCGCTTATCAGAGCACATATACCCCTCTTGAATCCAGTCTTGTAACAAGTATAACAACAAAACGCAACACGAAGCCGCAACACAACACACCATAAAACACTGGCAGTCAGCAAGGGGCAGCCAGTCAGTCACTCAGGCAGGGAGTCGCGTTTGCTTGGGGTTTTTTTTTATTATTATTATTTGCCGCTTTGTAGGTCAGGGTTGTCGTGTGTAATGCAAAACGTGCCAGCAGCAAATTGAATGAATAAGCGTGGCTGGCTGCACCGCCCATATCCCATATCCCATATCCATATTCTATTGCAATTGCAACAAAAGCATTAACAATTATTCCCGGCAATTTCCCGACAAAGCAGAAATTACTCCAAGCAGCCAGGGTGCACAATAAATAAACAGAAGCTCGTGCATATTTTAATTGAAAGTGCCGATAATAACCGCTTGATGGTCATTGATCTATAAAAGTGCATTCCCATGGGTACCTGGATTGAATTTCGTTTTCTAATTGATATCTGGAGTGCCGCCGGCAAAGATATGGCAATTTTTACACTGAAAATGATTTATTATCTTCCTTTTTGGGGCTTTTTATTCGGGTCTTATATGGGGGCCTTTACACAAAATCATATTTTTATTGCTTTGTGTGGGCGTTGCCGTCAATTGGTTTCGATTTTCACGTGACAAGACCTCATTAAGCAGTTTTTAAGGTTAAATCGATTTTACAGGCCATTAAGCGCAATTGAAATTGTTTTTATTTCTGTTTTTATTCTTTATGGATAAATTAACTTTCGATTTAGTTCGAATAGAATATTCGGTGCTTTACTATGGAAATGTCGCACTTCTGAGGGACGATCTATTGGTACAACAATTATTTCTATCCTCTTTCAGGCCTTTCGTATGCCTCATTAGTATAAAAGCTTCCTGTTTGATTTTCGATTATGAAGCGATTAGTAACAATGACTCTCTCTCTTTTTTTTGTGTCATTTGATGACACGTACAACTTACATACATGCTAAAATCCCACCTTTATCCATAGGTGTGTGTGCGTTGACAGAGGTTTTCATTAGAATTTGTACTCTGTAATATACACACGGTACATATTTGATTTGCTTATCAGTCAAAGAGAGAAAGATAGAGAGCGGGAGCGGGAACGGGTGAGGTATAAGAAACCAAGGCTACTTGGGCACAAGGTGCGCTCCAAGACGATACAGAGCGTACGAGAGAGAGAGCGAGTGAATGATTCACCTTGTGGATTTATACACCTTGCTTGGGCAATGCTCTCGCGCGCGCTCTCTCTCGCTCCCTCGCTGGGCTCTCTCGCGCCCACGTTTTCTTATCAATGCATTGTTGCTTCGTTGCGCCTAATTGCCGTTAGGTTTTCGTTCTATCGTTCTTTTGTGTAATGATTTATAAGCAGCAGCCAGACGTTAATTCGCCAACAAAGTAACAGCGAGGCCAAGAACAAGGCATAGAGGAACCCCAGAGGCCCATGACCAGGCTTAATTTCGTCCCCGCCCCGCACTCCCCACCCACCGTTTTAGGGGGAAAAGTCGAGCATTCGAGCGAGTCATCAGCCTCAAGTGGCTGACTGCCTGCTTTGGCACATCATTAATCTTGGCTCACAAAAGAGAGATGAAAAAAGTTGTCAAAAGTTGCCAAAGCAACACACACCCCGCACTCTCCCTCCCTCTCTCTCTCTCTCTTTGGCTTCTGTTTCTGCAAGTGTCGTTCTCTGTCTGTCTCATTCCCACCTAATGAAATTGCTTTGATTTTGAGACCAAGAAAGTTTTCTCATTTGTGACAGAAGAAGAAGCAGAAGAGAGAGAGTAAGAGGCAGGGAAATTACTCGAATCTTTGTGGTTAGGTCGAAAGTTTACACTTCTCCCTTTTTTGGGGGTTAATCTGGTTGGTGTGCCCCCACCACCCCCTGGGCTGCTGCGATGTGTATCTATCTATTAAAAAATTGAGGGCGAGTCGAAATGTGGCCAAAAGACGACGACAATCGCGAGGAGACGACTCCTCGATGGCACGACGCTCTCTCAGGAAACTGTTTTTGACGGAGCCCCCCCCCCCCCCCCCCCCCCCCCCCCCCCCCACACTCACACACACAAAGAGAAATTAACGGCCATAACAATGTGCTCTTGGGCACGCAGAATAGTAGGCAATGCATTTAACAACACTGCTGAATGTTTCCCCCCCCAATGGCTCTCTGTATCCCCCCGGAACCAGACGACATGTGGAATGTTTTGTATTTTCTAATGGCATAAATTATTTTTGCCGCCCGAATGTCTAATATGGCGGTTCTTTTGCCTCTCTCTCTCTCTATCTGTCTCTCTCTGGCACGCTGTGTGTGTTCTCCTCTCACTCTCTTTTAATCGATTTGGTAACAGTTGCCGCCGTTGTTTTCATAAGGGGTTATATTCTGGTTTGATCTGGAGCCACAGAGAACAATGGAGAAGAAGACGTGACAGGACGAGATGAAGCGAGAACAAGGTACATAGCATAGAAGGTAGAACGGAATGGCTGCCAGAACGTGGACTGCCTAACCTCATCGTGCGTTTCGTCTGTTATTTGTCCCGCTGCAGCGCGCTGCTTGTTTCGTTGCGTCGCTGCGCCTCTGCTTGCCGGGATGCTGTTGTCCCGCTCTTGTTCTTTCTGTTGTTTTTGCTGTTTCGGCTCTCGGGAGAGTTTTTGATTCGACATGTCCGCTCCTGCAACCCTTTTTTTCCGACGTGTGTGTGTGTGCGTGCGTGTAAAGTTTTGCATTTTTATTATAGATAATTTGTGTACAGGTTTTTTGCGGCTGCCGCGCAAACTCCCAACTTGACGACTCTTCACCTCTGCCCCACCCCCTTCCCCCTCTGGCCGCTTCTCTTCCTCCTTCTGTTCGCTGTCGCTGTCGTCGTCCTGTCTGCATATGTTGTTGGATGCTGGGTTTTGTTTTTGTGCTGTTTCCTCCCTTTTGTTGAGGGGAGCCATAATTAATTTTCGACATTTGCTTTCGAGTGCGTTTGAAGTCTGGCAACATTGGAATATCCACCGCAAAAGTTCTGTACATTAGAGAGGGACAACAAATGGGGGAAGGATGGAGGGAAATTGTGTATTTAAATTGTGATTAATGCCTTTGGGGGGGGTGCGGAAAAGCGACAAAACCAACAGAGAAAAGAGTATAAATCAAAATGAAAATAATGGGAAATATGGTTTATTGAAATAATCAAATATTTATGAGAAAGATACTCAAAAATATATGCGATTCTTAGGGGAAGGGGGCTTGGAAAGAAATATTTCTGTGATTCGAAGGAACAGCTAATAAATATCTATGGGATATCTCAAAGAAGGCTTCCTGTCTACACAAGGAGAAGCCCTAGAAAGATTTAAAGCTGAAATTATACAAGGACTTGCCACTCTTGAAAGTTCTTCAAATTATCCTCATGGAAACAGGATGTATTCATCGTAAATCCTAATAATACTCGTTGAATGTAAATTTCCTCCATGAATGACTTTTATAACAGCCAACAGCCGTAACATATGGGCGGCAAATGTAAGCTCAAGATTAATCCTGTTGCCCTGAGCGACACCACCCCCGCCACCGGCCTGATGGAATATACTCTGTCTCTTTCTCTTGGGATGGGTCTCTCCGAATAACAATCGCGCAATGCTACCGTTGTTATGTGTCAGGACTCAACTTGTTTCCTGTTTCCTCTTGGAAAACTCTTGGACAAGCCCACACTCAAATGATAGACAATAGAAGATGCACTTCCTATGCTCTGGCTCTGTCGCACAAAATTCTGCCGCCTGTCAAGGAAGGGAGGGGGAGGGGCAAAGGGAAAGGCGGAGGCGGAGGCGGAGGCGGAGGAAAAGCATCATCTTATTACACTTCAGCGGATGCATTTTGCATGCCATTCACTTCACTCTGGCCCCCCCTGGGGGGATCATTCATTCAGTCATGTGTGCACTCTGCCATTCTGTGCAACG